ATATTTAAAAATATATATTTAAATATATTTTATATATTTACAAATACAATATATATATTTAATAACATAAATATAATCACATTTTATATATATAAATATATATATATATATTTTTTTGAGATGGAGACTTGCTGTGTCACCCAGGATGAAGTGCAGTGGCGCATTCTCGGCTCACTGTAACCTCGGCCTCCCAGGTTCAAGCAATTCTCCTGCCTCAGCCTCCTGAGTAGCTGGGATTACAGACACGCACCACCACACCTAGCTAATTTTTTTTTATTTTTGGTAGAGATGGGGTTTCACTGTGCTGAACAAGTTGTCTCAAACTCCTGACCTCAAGTGATTCACTAGCCTCATCCTCCCAAAGTGCTGGGATTACAGGCGTGAGCCACCGCATCTGGCTAGAATATGTTATATTGTGTTTATTATATCAATACACTTATCATATATTAAATAATTAAATGTTAATTCCATACAAACAAATGTCATGCTAAGATTTATCAATTTTAATCCCTGGAGAATAGTTCAGTGTCTAAACAAAGCTAATACTCAATGAAAATTAATTGAACAAAGTATAAAAAGAAATCAGGGAAATTTTTTTCACTGTTATTTTTCTCTTACAATTTTTGTTTTGAAAGTATTTTCTTTTTCTCCTGTAAACTTTCAGTCTGCTCTTTTTTCCAAAGATGGATTGTGTCTGGCATATATAATCCAAGCACTCTGCCCAACTATTACCCTTGATAATTGTGTTTGATTAACCAGTCACATCACAGCTGTTGCTACAATTTGATCAGCAAACAGTTCTTCTGATCAGCACAAAACAATCACTATCAGGGAAAGTGAATTTAATTCTGAGTTTTCTTAACAAATGGAGCCTTATTATCCAAAAGAATATAATTTTGTTAGAATTTTTGAAATGTAAAAAATAATTATCTAAAAAGAGCAAATATTTAGATTACCTCAAAGGAATAGGACAGATGTTCAATTATCTACCTGCGGACCTTTGTCCATCTGTAAATAATTCCCAAATTGTAAGCTGTGTTTAAAAGTTTATACATAAGTGAGTCAATGGTTTAGAACTCAATGTATTTTTCCATATATATATATACACACACACACACATATAGTGTGCCTGTGTTTGTGTGTGTATATATATACACACACACACAAATTTGTAATATATAAATTTGTAAAACTATACACATTATATATAGTGTGTGTATTTATATTCTTTAGAAATATATATATTTCTTTAGCAATTGTATATATACACACTATATATATGGCTAAAGAAATAACTTTAATGCATTTAGAAACCTCAAAATCAAAATTTCCCTGCCGGCACTGCAGGGTCCCCTCCCTTTGCCTGGCCCTCCTCTCAGAACACCGAGCAATCCTGGGCACTCAAGGTCCCTCTTGCCCACATGAGGGTAGGAGGGGCACAGGGAGACCCTGCATTGTCCCCGATAATTGCAACGGTGCCCCTTGTGTCTGTCAGTCTGGATGAAGTTGCCCCATGGGTGCAGTGGGGAAGTGGTGGGGACCAGAAGCTGAGAGAGGCCTGGCCAGTAAATGGGACTAGGCTGGACTCCCTGAACACAGCAGGGATATATATATATATATATATATATAAATGTTTTATATATGTAAATGCATGTGTGTGTGTATATATATATTTATATATAAAAACATATAAACATTTAGACCCACATGACACTATTTAATTGTATAGTTAAATTGTGTCAATACCAATTAAATATAAAAGCCCATCTATGAAAAAAATGCCTTTGAAGTAGTAGTTGCACTAAGAAAGATTTTTACAAGAACTGGAGCTATTATGGAACTAACTGCAATGAATAATAAAATTGAACTTTCTAGTTGCCTAAGGTTCTGCTACTTCTGAGGGGTAGAATGGCTATCCTTAGCTGCCCAGGTGGTGGAACAGTTGAACAGGATGCTTGTAGGTCAGGGATCTGAGGCTGCCATGCAGAAACTAGGATCACTATTTTTAGTCAGTACAAACAACTGAATTCTCCAAAGAGTTTCAAACTGCATAAACCAGATCCACTTCCACTAAGGTTCCTAGAAGCACCATTCAACTTGCCTAATATAGTCTTTTATCTTAGTAATTAATTGTCCAGCAACAAGTGAGAGTAACTATACAGTTGTTATATTTGGCTATTTATTTTCCTACAGTGGGAAAATAAAAAATAAAAATTTTATTTTAAGTATTGATACAAATAAATAGAATAGCCTGGAATTTCTTTAAGTTTCCTAAATTTTCATAAATTAACTAAATCAATGAGTTATGTTTGCTTTCAATGTACTGACACACCTTTAGCCAAACTCAGAAATGAAATATACAGTGAGAAGGGAGAGAAAATTAATTGCAGAGAAGATAAAACATTGATATATTTGAAAGACATAATTGGCCAATATAATTAGGATAGAAAATAGAGCCTCAAAAAATTGGATCTAAGCTAAAATGGTTCTATGAAAAAAATTTTAAAAACAAGCTTTTATGCCAGGTCTAAAATGGTATATTCCTTCTAGAAAGAGTAATTTGAAGAGCCAATTAATTCATAGTAGACAGTAATCTTTGAGTTAATGGTATTTAATTAAAATGACAGGGTTTCTCTTTGAATTTGAAGGTAATGACAAATGAAACCTTAATTAGATTCTTGCCTTCCAGGAAAGAGTATGGGCCACTGGATTTTTGCACAAAATATACCATAGCTACTCACATTATTTCTTTTGTTGCTTAGTTATTTTCTTCCAATTTTTAAGTAATATATATACTGCTTGTTTCCCGCTTTTACAGGTGAAAGTCTGTTTCTCTGTCTATGTAATTTCCCATAATTTATTCTAATGAGGCTAGTATCATCTACAGAATCCTAGAATGAATTCAATACCAAACTAAAACTTTGCTTTTATGAGATAACATGCAATTGTGAGACACATTTAGGAGTCTCCACTCAGGCAACTTGAGATAAATTGAATATAATACATTCAAACAGAACATTAAATGAGAGAGAAATAATATAGAAATAGTAATCAGAGCTTCGTCAAGTTAAGATTAGAGATGCAGGCTTTTAAACTGAAGTGAATCTACCATATTTTAGATACTTAAGAAATGTTCCCCAGTGGGTTAACCACATTTCATTGCTTAAGGTAATGCAGAGCAGGGTATGAACAAGAAAGCCTAATGTATGATTTCCAACGAGTGAGGTGGGACCTTATACATATAATGCTGTGTCCATTATAATAATAATGAACAAAGAGCTATACAAACACACTCCTTGTCAGTTTCTAACCCATACTCTGGCAGAACAGTTGAAAATAGATGCTCAATAGAGATGTCTGCTAAGTTGATGCTGACATATAAGTTCCATGTTATTGATCTACACGTGGGAAAAAAATTGAAAGGATTTTTTTTCTCTAGTTATTAAAAGTCAAGGGTCAGATGAGCTCCCTGAATGAGGCCTATTGTTCTAATTTGCCCCGGTCTAAAAAAACTGTTGGCATTAGGATAAACTATACATTCCAGAAAAGTGATTCTCAACTCTCTCCTGATTGTTACTGACTACATGTTGCAGAAGCCAGTAATTTGTTACTAATATTAAATAGTAATTTTAGTGGGTGATTTGCTTTTTTTTAAAAAAAAGAAGGGCATGTTCAGGGTGATATATATGCCACCTTCTTGCATTCTAATAAGATATGTTTTTCAGAGTAGACATCACAACAAGCTACTGGAAAAAAAATATAGTCAACAGATTATTTTATCTTAGCCACATCCAGCAGCGTGATCACACAGAGACAATGATCATGGGTTTAGATGTGGGGAAAAAAGAAAAAAAAAAAAAAGGCTGAGAACTGTAATCCCGATTGTGAAAGGGAAACAGAAAGGTCTACTGACCAGTGATTGACAATACTTCTGTCTAAAAACATGCTTTCAATTGATTTAATATTTTTCCATATTTATGCCAGGATAATTAAAATCAATTGAAGAAATCCTACAGAAATAAGCTCCAATTGGATTTAATTTGCAAAAAAAATTAAAAGCTGCACATTGTTTTAGAAAAAAGACGGGTCAAAATGAAGGCAAGATTTGTATTACCAGCTTACATGTAAGAACACCATTGAATGTTTTGAAGATAACATTTTGAGGAATGTAGAAATCACACTGAGAGGAACTTTACCACTAATTATTATAGAATATTTAACACAGATATAACCTTTAGATATGATTCATTTTTCTTAGTTAATTTGAAAGTATTTAGGCATGACTATGATAGAGTCTCTGCTACTCCCCACTGTAGGATACACATCATCAACTTCATACATTCACTATATTCCTCCTTCAGTAATTGAATTTGTCACTCTTGTTCAAAAAAGACCATAAACAGATTTAAAGGATCAGCCTTGTGTGGTTTCATGAAAGGCTGCTTTATGAGATTTAACAACAGATTAATGCTATAAATGCTGATGCTAAATGTAGTCCATTGAACAATCCTAAAATGTAAAAAGACTAATTACATAAGTTGATGTTACACATGAACACAAACAGATAAAATATCTTCTCAGAAAAAAATTAGGTAACAATCTCAACATTTATATAAACGCCTGATTAGATACAACCAAGAAAAAAAGTTTAAGGGAATACATATGCTTTTTTAATTTTTTCTTTTCCTGCAAGGTCTATAAATTATCTTTCACGTAAGCACTGGCATCATTCATTTCATTAAATAATTATGTCTTGTAGAATGTCTGCTGAGTTTACAAAGATATGATTAGGACTATTAGAGATGCTTCCCTTGGTGGGATTCAACACCTTAAGTAAACCTATTGACATTCATGGTGAGTTGACAAGTTAACCCTTGCCTAACTGAATCATTTAGCATTTTCAAGATTACTTCCTTGTTTAGAACTTAAACTTATACTCAGCACTTGGAGGAACTGACAACAGTGGAAGGTACCAGCCATAAAATGTTGTCCATTGCAAAGCAGTAGAAATGAGTAGGAAGATTTGTGGGTGTTCCCGGGAACTCATCAGTCTCCTGTTCATTTTCAATAGGAGACTCACAAGTTCCTGCAAATGCACACAAACTTATTCTAAGCAGGAACCATTTGCAGATAAGCAGCTGTTCATATTTCCTCCATTTCAAGTGAATATAGTAATCTGTTCCCCTGGAGTATCTTCAGCAGCTTGGCTGGTGCTTGTGATTCTTTCCAAACAGTGTTGTGGGCATCCCAGACACTAGTCACCTTCATTTATTTATTCAATAAATATTGATTGAGCATCCCTTAAGCAGATCACTGTTCCTGTTCTAAGGATAGAGTGATAAATAATTTATTGCCTTTGGGGCAATTCTATCAAACATTAGTCCAGTTCACTTTCCATCATGCCTGAGTCAAAGTATCAGTCTCCAATGCCAAAGGAGAGGCAGTGGCATATAAATTTGTACTTCCTGGTACAATGGGAAGAATCTAGGAAAGGGAATTATGATATCAGAATTCTAGCCGTACAGCAGCTAAGACATAGCAGGATTTCCATGTCACGCCATTTAACATTTTTGGCTTCAGTTTTTTTTTAATTTCTAAAATTATTATTTGGGCTATTTTACTTTTCATTCTGGATATAAATGTGTGATGATGATATAATAACTGGAAACAAGAATGGAAGCATTTACAAATAAATGTAATGTTATTGAATTTGTCTTTTTCTACAAAAAACCTGCCTTTGTTTTGGCAATTACTGTAAAATTTAAATATATTATTAATAACTGGCATCTTTTCTACCAGCCAACACATAAATTATTTTTCTCATATAAAAATAAATGGTTAATTTGTCATTTAATGGCTCCTAACATTGAAACTTATTTTTATCAGCTTTAATTTCTCCATTAGATCTCAGACTCTAGTTCTAATGTTCTAAGAAGACAGGCCCAGTCCTTGACCAGGAAGGTGGTAATCATCAAGGTAAACATTTTTCCAGGACCAGTTTTAGTCTTTGCAGTTTTTCTGAAACTTTAAGCTCTAGAAAATTTTGCCCACGTTAGGTTGTTCAAATGAAAAAAATAAATATTCCACTCTCTCTTCTCCCCATAAAAAGTATGTGTATAAGCAATTATGCCTGTGTACACACATATACACACACACGCAGGGTCTTTGTCCTTAAAGGTTCCCAGCTGGTAAAATGTCATGCACTCATGCTTATAGAATAGCATACAGATCCATTTATTTTACTACCATATGCCCTTGTAAGAGACAGTATGTAAATGCTTCATTGAAGAGGTTTAATTTTCAAGCCCTATCTAGGAATTGGCAGAAATTAACTACAGGTTTTCTAGGTTTTTTTGTTTTCTTTTGTTTTGGTGTGGCAAAAGAAGGGGTTTTGATCTCAGTAGACTTTTCTGTCCCTGGAGCTTGGATTTCTGTCTCTGTCTCACTGTTAAAGGACTGAGACCATATCTCCATATAATTGGGTTGTGCAGGTAAGCAGTTACTGTCTTTCTTAAATGGGTACACACTTGTGTACCAGGGTCAGCACTGCCATGGAGCCTTGATCAAAGGGGCCTGCTTGGTATTTCATGAGGTGGGAGAAGAATGCCACAATGAATACAGCCTCAAATACTCTGATTTGTGAGTTTTATGTGGTTGAGTGTAGAAGTTTCTCCAAATGGACCCAGAGTCAGTTACCAGTATGGCAGAGGAGTTTGGAGGACAATAGAACATTCTCTCTTTAATCTCTACTAGGACTGGGGAAGGCAGTAGACCCCACTGAATAACCTCCTCACTATGTGGCTATATTAAAATTGGTGAATATCTATTTATGTAAATCGTATGCTATAAAGGTTATTTGCTATTAAAGTCTCCCAGTAAAATTCCAAATTGACAGTCAAGAATCCTTGAAATAGCCTAATCAAATAGGAGTATATCACCACTTTATCCAAGGAATAGGTTTCCTCTAGGCAGAGGCACCATCCTGTTTTTCTTGTTTCCACACCTAGAAAATCTTCAGCAGCTAACAAATCAATTGACTAGTATATGAAATTTATATTGTAAATAAATAAATAATCAGTAACTCAGAGAACATTTATTAAAACAGTTTTCTAAAGGGTAGAGTAGGTAGCTAAATAAACGTGATACAATCATTTCCTTTATAGTGCTTGCATTAACGTTTTATCTAATAATAAAATGTAGGTTATTTGTGGCAAATGCATATCAAAGATACAGATATACAAAGATGACAAGGAGGAACATTAAATAGCAATAAATGGTGCAAACCAAGAAACAGAGGAGGAAATGTTGAAGTAATAGTGGAGCAGTACGTAAAAGTTTCGAGTTCTACAAGCACAAATCTGTATCAAACTATCACTCATAGAATAAGCAATGTATTCTATGTGTGCATCACATGATATTTAATCTGAGACTTAATTTTCTCATTTCAAAATGTGGATACTAATAGTACCTATCTCATAGTATTTTATCATTCTTATAAGCATTATTGTCATTACTGAGGGTAAGGAATGGAACAGAGAGAACAAACTGAATGTTATAGCCCTGTTACTGAATTTACATATTAATGCTAAAATCTTGAAGCAGGAAAGGAATTTCTGGATAAAAAAAATCTCAAGAGTATTAGTCAAATTAACACCTAACCCATTATAATCATGAAAAATCTACTAATAACACTGTCATTATAGTGAAGTCTGGTACCTTTGGGTGGAGTATAGTTTCTATTTCTAGGGAACTGCTTCCATATTATTCAAAAAGTTATTTAAGATGATGAAAATTATATCTATCCCTTGTACTTCTATTAAGAGAAGTCATTCCTTAACATCTTTATGGCTCTTTGACAACCTTTCTGCTACTTATTATTATCAATACTGAAATAAATTATTCAGAGAATACTGATGCAATTTATGAGGTAACAATAAAGAAAATGGTCAAAGTCACAGAAATACAAATATTTCTTACATACAGAGCAATATCTTTTAGAATGGGAATTTAGACTACATTAATACTGCAAGACACTTAAAAGTTTTTGTGAGTTTTCTATTTTAAGATACTTTTTTTTAAGCACTCTAACATTATTCATGTTACTACCTCTTTGGCTAATAAGCATTTTCTATCCTTATCCCAGTGTCTGATCTTTAGACAAACAAAATAAACTGTTAGAAATAACAAACTTGTTCTTTCTTTACAATTTTTTTACCTCATCAAATTGCTACATTCATAAAGTACACTAAGGGGATGAAATAGGTGGAGATAAATCTGAATTTTAAAATTTGCACTCCATGCTAGACTACAGCGATGCACCTATCAAGGTTTTTGACTGGAATTATGAAAAACAGGCAGTCATAGTGTACTGAGCCCTAAGAGGTCAAGTTCTCAAGTTTGAGATTTGCTTATCCTTATTTCTCCATAGTCAATGGCACTATGGCCATACACTTTAGAGAAAATGTGTGAAGAAGAGATCATGATAAAATATGAATTTATGTATTGATTCATGCTTTCAAAGATATTTGACAATAAGTTCATAACTGATAAAAATGTTCACCAATGCAATTGTACTTTTCTTGCTTATTCTTGATACTGAATCTGACAAAAAGATTTCTGACTAGCGATAGCCACATATTTTTACTAATAATCCATATTTTATAAAACCAACAAAAACTATATATACAAGTTAAAATCAAAAGCAACTTAACACATAAATAAAAGCAATGATAATGACATAATTAAAAAGATAATTAATCTTGACATATTCTTACTGAAAATAATTATGCCAACTCAAAAAATTTTACTACTTGGCATAAGAAACAGCAATGATAACTGTATTGACTTTAATTCTGTTAGATACTCAAGTTTCTATTCTGAGTCATACTACCCTATTGAATATTATAATAAAATAGTGTTCCTTAAATAGTTTTAAGTTAGTTTTAATTTGGAGAAAGAGTTTTATACTAGTACTACAATGACAAAAATGTTTAAATTTAAATTATTTTTTTAGAAAAAAAGATTTCTGTTGAAGTATTTCATAAAAATCCCACTTAATTTTCAAAGAATTTAAGTATATTCAACCCTGATTATATCTCAAGTAGTGACAGCATATACTATAAGAAATGCTTCAAAATGCTTTATGCACCTCTACCTTTCTTTTAATTAAAACAAGTTTTACATGCTTGATGCTTAAAGATCCAAATATTTTAAATGTCTACAAAAGTCTCTACCCAACCCAACAGTCTTCCTGGGAGCAAGCATTGTTAACAGTTTAACATTAATCTCCCAGAACGTTTCCATCTAGTATAATGATGTTTTGTTTGATTTTATAGCATCAATTGGGGCCATATTACTCACTGAGTCCTACAAATTACTTTTCACATTTCTCAATATATGATGGTCATTATACCATGTCAGGACATCTGACTTTTTTAATGGCCAACTATTTCCCATCAATGACTAGTTGCCCCTCAGCCCATTACAATGCTACAATTAACATCACTCTGAGAAAGTCTATTTACTTTTAAGTACAGACTAAGTATTTCTTAGTAAAAAGTCACACGGTTTTTTAAAAATATAAATTGCTAAAACCCAACAAATTATCCATCGGAAAGGCAATTTGCACCCCCAACAGCAGAGAATAACAGTAATCATTTGTCTGTGTCCTTGACAGCACTGGTTATTATCACTTTTTAATTTAAAAAATTTGATGGAACAAAATAATATCTTATTGTTTTTGGTTTTTTTCTGATAAGAAATATAATAGAACATGCATTAGTATGTTTCATATTTCTATTGATTACTTGTGTGTCTTTTTCACAAATAAGTTATTCATACTTATTGACAATTTTATTCTATATGGTTGCAGTTATATTGACTTTTAGGAGCTATTTATATATTTTATCATGGATAATAACAACGTCTTACATGTTACAAAAATTTGCTTCAAGTTTTACGCTTAAAATTAACTTTATTATGATGTCTTTCACATTATATAGTCATTTTTAAAGCTTATGTAGTTAAGTATGTCAATCATTTCTCTTATGACTCAGTTTCATTTTTTGCTTAGTAGTACATTTACCACCCTAACATTAAAATACACTGCTA